AGAAAGCTAAAGAAGCGCTAAATAGCCGAGTGGGGAGGACGTTGACGACATTTACCGCTTCGATGAAGATAGTTAGGGTCTAATATATTGAAAGAAACTGTAGATACTTGTCTAATTAATATTGAATATTTGTACTATAACTGTAATAAAATCCGTGTTCATGTGGTATTCCGTCTGGTTCAAGCATTTAATGATTCCATTCCAGTGTACTACCGCTAAAATTACAACTGTTTCAGCTCGATCCCAGGTTAGGTCACAGTTTTTCAGTAATAGGATTTGCACGCCTCTCAATACTCTTTTACGTCGCAATATTCCGTCATACTAATAATGCGTTCAAAAAAGCACTGGGCAAGTACATCTGATCGGTCCTTGGTCCCCAGCTGTATTTTATTTTATTTTATTTTGTTCTATACGTTCGTGTTGATGTTGTATAGCTTTGTAGTGTATTGTTACTAATTTAGTTGTTCCACATGCCTGCTGGCATGCAATAAATAAATAAATAGATAGTTAAATTGTCCTTTCGATAAATACTTCCATTTTCACTATTTTGACCAGTACATGAGCTCATAAGGAAGGCTGGTGAGTGAAACAAGTCATAAAATAACTTGACACGTTGTAATCGATCAATTTCGTGGCCTCCTACTCATGCTGCGGCATTTAGCCAGAGCCTCTATCAGATGGTCGACTGAAATGTTCATAAGTCGATCAGGCTCAGTCACGGGGAATTAGTGCTTGCGTCTCATGTTTGCATCCGACCTGTGGTGCGGAAGGGTTCGAATCCGCTGACGTGCACAGTTGCAAACGCTGAAATAACATCGTTTGCGAGCAATTTGCACTCCTCTGAGTTGACTGGGCCGGTTCTTAAAGTCAATGCTCAAGTTTCGGAGATGTGGAAAGAATGGAGTAAGCTTTTTCGGACAAGCAATAAGTGATTACAAGCAATCCAAGTAGTACAAGTAGATTTAATTCTCAAAGCTGAACTGCATTTCTCACAGCACTGAACTTTCTTTCTGTCCGTTGCCAACATGTATCAATACCAATATGTATCATCAAGCTTGTTATCGAATAGACAAGGCACTAGCGAAGGCGGTGGGCTAATATGGGTCGATAGCGAGGGGTCAATTGGCTCAGCGTTCGGTTAGAAGGCAATTCAGCCAATATAATTTTTATAAAATAAAAAGAAACAAGGAATTTCTAACCGTAGTAGTTTTCAGGCCATATTATTGCTGATCCATTATAAAATCGCGAAATAAACATTCATTGAGAATCAATATGAAATTTGAATTATAAATTTGTGTTGACCACATACCTGCGACTAGTCTAGTAGGTGTTCCTTGTATACCATTATTGAAGCCTTTGAATGATGCAAAAATACTTCGTTTCCCTGGAATTCACCTTTGGAATAAACTCGCGAATGCTTGAAAACGGTAAGTAATTGCTACCGCTGCTTTCAGCCGAAATTGCTTGAGTTTTGTCATAGAGGATATCAAAATGAATACGATTTCATGATCTTCCTAAATATAGGGCCATATGTTGCTGTTAAACTTAAGTCAAAAAATGGAAATGGATCTATAGAATAAAGTGGAGGGCTTACGATGATGTTACAACTGCAGACACCACCTCAGGTAGGGAATTACTCACACTTCTACTCTCCTGGAAATTAAGCTACAAAATTGAATAAAATCAGGAAATTGTATGCCCGAACTCAAAGCTACCCACTGGCTTTCCACTCGAATGAGTGGATGGAAAGAAGCAAGTGACTGAGAACCCGGTAAATTTAGCCACTGCTTTTAGGTAAGTGTTCGAATTTTGTCACGAAAGGTAGCAAAATAATCAGGGACTTTGTGTTCTCCTCCACACCGTCAGTTCCTCGTCTCAGTGCGGTGGACATTGCAGTGGAATTAAATGATAGTGATAGCATCAGCATTAATTGGCAGACTGTTCGAAATCGCCTGAATCTGTAAGAAGGGCTCAGCGAGGGTACCGCTAATCTCAACGAGAGATCGAAGAGCTCATTCTAAGCCAACACTTTGCATGGACTTGGGCTGAATGGAGCTCAGGGAGCTCAGTTCTTTTTACGGTGAATGCAATTTCGACCTGCTCGAAAGTGAAGGTATAAAGTACGTGCGATGCCCACCAGCTGAGCGGTTCAACTTCATGCATAATATATTAGGCATCCGTCAAGCATGGCACAGTGATGGCCTACGGTGCTTTCTCGCGGAATTGCATGGTTCCATCCTGACGGAGCGATGACGGACAGGAGCTCTAGGGACATGGTGGTGAATGACGTCTTGCCGTGAACACAGTAGAACATGCCTGAGAATGGATTATGCAGCACTATAACGATCCAAACCGCACATCAACTTGAAAGGTGAGTTACAAGTTTTTCACAGTTCAGTTAAAAAGTGTAGTGTAGTTGAGATGATTCAAGCCCCAACATGTGTTGTCCCGTGATTCAGTGGCTTTTCTTCCTGTCGCTCACCCACTTGGGTTACATGCCAAAGTCATCTTTTTTGACTTTGGGCCAACTCCTAATACAGCAGCTTCTTAGTTGATCAGTAAACGTGGACATTTTGGGAACGCCGATTCTCGTGCTTTCTTCTTACTCCATCGTCTCATTTCTCACCTTTTCTTTCACTTTTCGTTATCATCTGGACAACCCAAAATGATAGTGAACTGTGTTTTTGAATAGTATTCTAGTGGTCATTTTCATATCTTACAATCCATCAGCGCGTGGTTCGGGCTTCATCCACCCTAGAGCTTCGCTTACCCCTGGTACTGGGCAATGACTTTCAAAACTCAAAATTCAAACCCATACTCAAAACTTTCTTCCTTAACTACCATTCATAACTGAATCATATAGTACTACCCCACATACTGCTACTGAGCCCGGTGAAGCGTCTCCAACTCCAGTTTACAGACGGTGAATAATGTCAGTCGCCACTCCTTCCAACCAGTGGAAGGGGCTCCCGAAAAAATGAGATTGGCTTCGATGTAGGGCTAGGAGGGGGGGGGGGGGGGGGGGGGGGGGGAGGGGACTGCACTGTGCTCAGCATCTCCGACACCAAAGGCTAGAGGCAAAGGAGGTTTGTGCGCCCGAAGCGTGAAGATTTGTAATTTTATGTACGCAAACAAAACTCCAGTCAAGAAGATGGAATTTTTATACAAGCCTCTACTTAAACCATAAACGCCTACTACAACACTGCAGGAGTGGGAAGTGAACAAATAAAAAACCTTAGATGACAGAAAAATCCTACTTTCCAGCACTCATTTTTCCAGCCACACGCCTCTCTTTCTGATATCCTAGTATTCATCGAGAAAATCTCCGGTATTCACAGAATTCATATCCATATTAGAATTTTTACAACTCAAACAATACTATGGAGTGAACGTTTTCGCCACGTTTCCGCCACTTCAGTAGTCACTTTCTTCTTCGTCTTCTTCTTCTATTCGATTTGTGTTCACGGACCCCCTTGATTCACTCATCCACCGCTCGAACTTCGAGAAGATTCTAAAAATAAATCTTTGTAATTGCGAAACAGCTCAAAATGCTAGTGTGGATGGGATGAGGACGACGAATTAGGCCAAGAAAAACGCTGAAAGCATTCCAGCTTTAAAATTTGTTTTGGTACATGAATTTCTTTTTGCACAGCTGACTCGGGTCAAAAACATCTCATTTCGTGAAAACCAAAGTGCTACAGATGGTCATCAAAGTGTGCCGAGAATTCCAAATGCCCATTGTCCATAACTTTGTTGACTATAAAAACGCTTTTGACAGTATCTCCAGGGGGGGGGGGGGGGGGGGGGGG